GTTTTATTGGTATAGATAATTAATTGGTAAAAAGGGAAATTTTGGAATATTAATGCCAATTTTATGTCATTAAAGCAATAAGTGTTTTTTTTTTTTTGGTAAATTTCTTTGCTAGTCAGCAACAAAAGTTTTACTTAATAAGTTCGTCTTATAAAGCAGTTAACGCATAACTATTTTTATTGAAGAATTGTTAGAGAAAACTTCTTTTGCTTCTACAATTACTTTATATTATTACACTTCATTGGTCAGCAGTAATAACCCTGCAAATAACTTCTATAATGACACCTCATACGACTTCACATTTGTACTCAGCTGCCCAACAAATCTGCTTCTTAAATCGGTTTATTTTAAAGTGGCTTCGTCAAAAAATGTTCTGCTTAGCGCGGGTCTTCATTAGGCAGAAAACTTATGTCTAATTTAAACTTATAATATGCCAACCCTGCAAAATACTGCTTTAATTAATCAAGCCATTAGCCAAATTTGCTAGTGCAATTTTTTAATAACATTGTTTTGCTTCTCATATTCCTATAAAAATTAAAAAGATGAGTTTGAGTGTGCAAAGTTTTTGAACATTTACTTATAGTTGTCCTTTCAGACAAGTAAGCTTTTTTACGCCTGACTTATTGCAAAGGTACTTTTGTCACTTATTGTTCAATACGTTGTTGCTGTTTAACACAATTAACTAGTGTCTTGAAATTCTTCTTTACCTTAACCAGATAAAACTCTACAAACACTAATATTCTTCAAAATTTTAATTTTTGCAAACAACTTGAATACTGCTCAAAAGCATAGAATTACTGTACTTACTATGGTTTTATTACTTCATAAGTAACTGTTATTATGTGACCATAGTGGCGGTATACTTTCTTCAAGTGCTTTCTATAGTTGACCTGTAGACACATTTATTGGGTTATCTTGGTTTAAACAGACCAACATTAAACTTTGAAAATAAAGAACTGTTTTTGCAAATCATTATTTAAATTTACTAATAATTCCAATTGTTAATAACAGCTGAATAATTTTAAACCGTATGTATCATTCCTCAAAAAAAAAAAAAGAACAGAAAGGACTGTTGGTATAGCTAAGAAAACCTTTAAACAAGAATAAATAAATCTTCAACAGTGGAATTTGAAATGTACTAAAATTATACTATTAGAATTCAGCAATTCCTAATATTTTTTCTTAGACTAAATCAGTTTTGTATGACCTTTATCAACATACAACTCCAAAAAAATTTTTAAAGATAAATTTGACAAAAATTTGGCGTTTAAGGCCGAATTAAAGCGGAACAGATTATTGCCAGTTGTCCGAAATCAGATGCTAATTTGCTTGAACAAATGCAAGTAAGTAGTGCAGTTTAATCTAAAACTTTTTCAAACTTTTAACTTTTATGCGTAAATTATGGTTTAAAGAACGCGAAAAGAGAAACTGGCAAGACCATTAGTCAAGGCTTTGTAGAACAAACTTCACACTAAATAATTAGCTAGTTTTAGAAGTTTGGCATTACCACAACAATTGATAATACAGAAGTTGTTCGACATGCTAATGTGATATTTGTGGCAACGAAGCCGCCAGTTGTTAGCAAAGTTGCAGCTGAAATTGCTCCAATTATAAGCAAGGAACAGCATTTGATAGTTTCTATTGCAATGGGTATTCCGATAAGAAATTTAGAAGCTGTATGGTTGCATCTATACGAATACTTTTTTTTCACTGCTTTAATTGTACATATGGAAGCATTCTAACTATATAATTTTCAAATTAAACGATAATTTAGCTGTTACCAGCAAAAAGCCGCGTGGTACGGGCAATGCCAAATACTCCAGCTGTGGTTCAAGCAGCTGCTTCAGCATTTAGCATGGGCGCCTCCTGTAAAGAAGGTGATTCTGAGCTGGTTAGAGATTTGCTTTCTACTGTAGGCTACGCTGTTGAAGTACCTGAAGTTATGATGGATCCAGTAACTGGCCTCAGTGGCAGTGGACCTTCATACGTAAATTCTTTTACCGCATATGGGTTTTATGTGCCTCAGTTTCTCATAAGTGTTCTTAAAAAATGTTCACTAACTTTACTTATAAAATTATACTGCCCATTTTAGAAATAAACAAATGTTTTGTCGCTGCATCTACACTGTACATCTGCAATGCTCTTTTTATGCTACAAAATGTTTTTGGAATCTTCAATCAAGCACTTTGGAAGACCAGAATTTTCAGGTTTTTACTGCAATTGAAGGATTAGCAGATGGAGGCGTAAAAATGGGTATGCCGCGAGGACTAGCGATGAAGTTGGCTGCGCATACTCTTCTTGGAGCTGCTAAAATGGTTCTGGAGTCTGGCAAGCATCCTGCAGAACTCAGAGATGACGTTCAGTCTCCTGGTGGCAGCTCAACCTATGGAATGCATCAGCTGGAAACTGGAGGTTTCAAAGGACTGCTGATAAATGCTGTAGAAGCAGCTTCGTTACGTTCAAAGAATACTGGACAAAAGACTGCAGCCAATCTTCCCTCTTATCGAGCAACTGAAATGTGGGAATCGTGATCTACTATGAAAATTTTCTAGTTGTTCTTTTATGCTCCAAAGACTGATCTAGTCTTCTTACGTATACTGCAAAACAGACTACTTTTTGAAGGACAGACAAAGTGGCCTTTTCATAAATTGGAACGTTTCTTCTAATTTTGATCGCTAAAAAACTTTCCAAAAAAGCTTGATTTTATTTAAAATTAACCAACTTTTATGCGTTTTTTCTAAAAGTGGTACTGACTCGTTTATACAATGGTAGCTACATCTTTGCAGAAAAAAGAGGAAAAAAGGCTTATTTTTTCGGAACACTGCTGAGGAGGAATCTTAGTAAAGTTGCATAAGTGATTGATTGCATATTTAGAAATGATAGGTTGGGCAATTAATCTTAGAATCTGCTAAGTAGTTGCAGCTAAAGTAGGTTTAGTTCTGTCTAGTTTTGCCTATAAAACAGTCCGATCAACCATTCCTCCACATCAAATGTTTGTGTACAACTTTCGTTCTTTTTATAAATATCGGCAACCGCGACAAAATAAATTTTTTTTCTTCTAAATATTATTAGTTACCAGCTAAAACTTCAGGCTAAACTTAGTTGGAAATGTTGATGAGGAAGATGAAGAAGACGTTGAACAGTACCGCCGTGTAGCTGCCATGTAAACGTCCATCTAATTGCAAGAGGTCTGTCTGAAAAGCTCAATGCAACTGATACCAAAGGATTTTAACAACTGTGCAATGCTTGTCTAGCAAATATAGTTAGTTATTAATGTTTTTTGCGAGCTCAGTATTGTAAAAGCCTTAACTACCTTGTGGTAAGTTGGTGATGCTATTTTGTCTTTCCTCACTATTTAATTTTAAAAAGAATAGAGCGACTTGTAATTATTTCTATCTTTAACACCATTCTTTTATATGGCAGATGAATAAGTCACTTTGGTTGAACTGTTTTGAAGAGGGCGCAATCCACTGACGGTTTTTGTCTCCTTAATTTTACCTCAGTTTTTACATATTAAAAACCGTAAAAGTGTTCGAGTGAACCAAAGTGCATTTTGTGCTGGAAGTTTAAGTCTTTCTAAATGTCGTTGAAAGCGCCGATGTCTAAGTTTAAATTTCTTTTTTTTCAGTATTCGCCTATTTAGACCTTACATTATAAGGGATGATATTCTAATTTGAGTTTCTAACTATGGGATACATTGTCGAATAATTTCAAAAGTGTGTAATAACCATATATTTTGAATTCTTGCCTTTCACAGATAATTTTTGCTGATTTATTTAAAAAAAAAAAAAGAAAAAAAAAAGAGCATTCCTTTTGATAATACTGATTTGCTGTAAACGACCGCATCAAGAGGAGTAAAGCTTATTAGCTGACTTATACAGCCTTTGAACAACAGTACTAACACGCGCCCAAAAATTAACTGTTTTAGTCTCGCTCGCCCTTAGGCTCAGCCGGCAGCCGGTCAAGCAACCACTTAGGCATAGCTGCACGTCTCGCTTTAGCGTAATTCGCCGTTTTGCTTGCAGCCGCCTCTGACAAAGTCAATGCTGGTATAAAATCTCTTGCAAAATATTTGTTGCATTACAATTTGGTTTTAGTTCTTTGTTAATACGTGGAATGCCCGGAAGGCACTAATGTAGTTTGAGGGAGCAACAGTTTTGGTTGAACCGGACGCTGCGGAAAGAGGCCACTGCCAAACTGTTTCCTTTATTCCTTATGCTGATGCATCGATTTTAGTCATTAACTTTTTTGCATGGACCTCGTCCTGAACTATAGTTTGATTGAACCGGACGCTGCTTGTGTAGACCAAATTGTAATGCAACGAATATATATAATTCATTGCGTAAATCAGTCTGACATCGTTTTGCTGCTGCTCCTTCAATCTGTGTCTTTGAAAGAGCTGAAGCATTCGTAAATGCACTGATTAGATGCCAAGAAAGCAGCAGTCTTTTACACAAGCCTTGAATTGAGAAGTACCGCCTCACCCTCAAATATATAATACGTGAAAGAACAAAATTTAGTTATATTTTTTAAAAATAAAAAACTTGCTAGTCGCCAGCGCACTGTTGAGGAAGTGAAAATTACAGGGAGATATTACCAAGTCAACAATCAAAATCTTTTTCCCATTCTGAAACGCGAAAAAGTATTAATCAGAATTTAATATTAATTTAGTGAATGAAGCTCTATCTTACAAAGAGTTTTTCGCTGACTAACCAGTTATTCAAAAGGCATACTGAAGGTTTTAGAACCTTTTCAGACATTAAAATGTAGTTAAAATTCTATATTTTAGAGTGAAGAATGGTTGTGATCGTTTTGTATATACACCTTCTTGAAGTATAGCTGTGGACACGAATTAATGTGTAATGAGGTAGTGGTGTATACTTGTATACAACGTATTTATTAGGCATGTGCAAGTGTAGAGCATTGTTCTATTTCAAAAACGCTTTTTACCGATCCTTCGACGCTGCAGATTGCAGGATTTTGAGGTACAAAAATGCGCCTTAAATACCAAACAGTATTCATTATTATTGCATTTATTAAACTGGAGCTACTCTGAAAGCTAAACCTGATATGGAGGAGGTTAGATATTGATGATGGCGGCAAAATTATGGATGTAAATTAATATAAAGATCAGTGAGAACCTAACTGGTTGAGAAATAACGTATTTTAGCTGCTATCTAAGCATTGCATATCTCCGGTTGAACTTCACTTTATGTTTTCTAGCTACCGTTAGTCTGAAATTGAAAAAATATATTGAGTTGTCCTATTTCTGGTATCGCGATAGGCAAAAGTTGCCAGAAGGAAAAGCTGTAATTAAATGTATTCTGTCTACTTGTTCGATATCGCTTTCTCACAGTTGAAAATATGAAAAAGTTTGTAAATCTGTTGTGCATTTTTTCTGCTACGGCATCAATCTCTGTAAATTTACCAATGGCTTTTGATTCCAAAAAAAGTGTACAATGCCATTTGTGTTGTACGCACAGTGAGTGGCTCAAAATAGAGAAGCTTGACAGGAACAACGATAAACCAAATTTATTTTCTAGTCCTCTAGTATTTTTCTGAACAATTCGAAAAATATAGACGGCAGTCAAAGAAGGAAGGATGATAAAAATGCTGCTTAGACTGAGACGGTGCTGGAGAAACAGTACAGAAATAGGAGTCTATAATTTGAGGTAAGTCGGGGAAGGTCGTATTATATTATATTATAGTATTAGCAGATAAATTAAAATTTTTATGAGTTGGATCAGTCCAATTACCTGATAATTTTTTACAACTAATTTAAACAGGTTTTAGAGTTTTAACAGGTACGAAATAGAGAAAAAGTTTTGCTAAAAAGCATTCTTTTTTTTATTTTAAAATTCTTTTATTTGGAAAGAGACAGTATCGATGCATTCAATAACTTATCAAATTTGTTATATTTTTACTTCTTTAACAATATCTGCAGTGAAGTCAATAAAGTGCATTTTTTGTGCTTTCAGACAAAAAAACTGTGTGTAAACAAAGAAAACAAAAAGTATAATTGAGTAAAAAATGAAAAAAAATTTTTATATAAAACTTTTACTGTATATACTTATCTAATAAGAAATTGTTAATGTATGTATGAAATAAAGGAACGAATCGTGCCAGAAAATTTTTATGTTTTAAAAAATTTTAAATTTCCAAACGAAAGAAATATGAGATTGAAAAAAACAACAAATAATGATTGCAACATTGTTCATTGCTAATTGATTTGTTGGTAGTAACATGGAAGATCAATGATTACATACCAGTAGCCTATATTTTTGTAGTTTTTTTTT